CCCCCGCTCCGCCTTCCCCTTCCCCTTCCCCTCTCCTCTCCACCTTCCCTGGCACTTTGTGCCTTTCCCTCCTCCCTTTCTTCAGGTTTCGCGAAGTCTCTTTAGAGGCTTCGGCTTCCTGTCGAAAACCCCTTTCTTCAGGTTTCGCGTGGGTCTCATTAGAGGCTCTGGCTGCCAGTCGAAAGTCCCTTTTTAAGTCTCGCGCGAGTCTCATTAGAGGCTCCGGTGACTAATCAAGGTCTTTACACTTATTAATTTAAGTGTGTAAGTGCTTCTGCGCTTACGTTTCCCTTTCTAAATGGCTCCCAAAAAGAACCAGCAATTTCGCTTCACTTGGTCGCCAACGACCAGCACGTATACTTCAGGTTTGCTTTGGCCAAGTAACGCATGCTTTCGTATGAGTTTGACTGTCTCCCGCTCGTCGATGCCGTAGTTTGGACTTGTCCTCCATCCAACCAACGTCAGATCCGAAGTCAACAGTCGCGGATCGAGGAGCATCCACATCTTTTTCATCAGACAGACATGCTTGAGCCATATGCTGATTTTCTCTCCTGTTCCAGGTACAACTCGGCTCGCTCTCTCCGCACTACATCGGTACACGATTGCTTGGGGTCCCTGGGGTAAAACCCGGGGGCCTCCAGGCCCCCTCCTCTTCTTCACCCCTCTTTGCCTTCGCTCTCCCTCCCCCTCTTCCCATCCCCGGCCTCTCAACCCACGGTTTCTTCGGGAACCAGAGGTTTTCTCTTGGTATTTCGCAGTCTGTGCTTGCACGGACTAACAAGTACCTCTGCGATCCAAAGGTTACTTCGGTAGCTGGAGGATCATGGGTCAGGAAGCTAGCTCTGCTAGTGGATTGACCAGGTTAGGAAGCTATCTCTGGTAGTGGAGTGACCATCCTGCCCACGGGCACCCCGCCGGTACACTTTGAGTAGTGTGCTGTGTTAGACGTAGGCGTCGCACCCTCGTCGCAAAACCTCTTTTTAAATGTCTGAACGGACAAAAAATGTTCATGGAGTGGTCTCTGCTCACTATGGAAAGCCAGACCCGGCCCAGGCTGGTGGTAAGAAGCGAAAGTCCGGGTCCTGACTGATAATTAGGATAGAGAGCCCGAGATAGACGTCAAGCGTCGAGTCCGACGATCTTGATCGGGTGTTTGAGCACACCAGTACTGGAGCTGGCTTGACACATGGTGGTCATGTAGAACCCGGATAATACCCTCCACCAGATCCCAACGGTAAGTCGGAGAATCACCAGAGGGATATTTCCATCTTGGCCAAGTTCGACGTCTACAGAAGCACGCTCAAGAGGGTTTGCTACCGCAGATGGGAGCCATATCCAAACATCGGCTTCAAGCATCAAACCTGGCTCAGGCCAGATCTGTTTTTTCATGTCTTCGACGCTCTTGGCGACTTCAGATCTCTACGAAGTCCATTTCAAAGGGCATGGGATGCTACACGCTTGCTTTAGTACTCGTCAAGTACAGCAGCAATGGCTGAGAAGTCTAACTTCGTGCCCTTGGTTCATTGGGGATGCTTGGCGACTGATCATCGAGGGCCGTCCAGAGTGGGGTTACCACCAGCCACTGTCCATAGTGAAATTGATCAACGATGGTGAAGTTGGCACCGACAAGGAAACTTCTCTGGAAGTAGTTCCGACTGAAAACGCTACTAAGGCGGCCCCAGCTAATGCAGGTCCTCGACAAGAGAGAGAGCTGGACTTCGTATGCACCAATGCATGAAGCTCCTGCTTTCATCACTTCAACGCCTTCCATCGGTGACTGAGACGACAAGCCTGTCCGGCTCGTGCGGATCCATATATACACGATCAACTTGGCCGACGACCGGCTTGTGCGACCTCTTCGAGCACCAAGCCTTTTTTTGCGCTTCATCCGATCCCATGGACCAGGACGAACCTGAACTCGGATGGAAGTTCCTTTTCTGCGAAGGATGTGTTAGACAAGGTCCATCTCGTTTCCTCTGTCGGTGGCTTCCATGACTCCATTCCTGGAAACGCTCCACTGTCCAGATGCTTTTAAGCCAATCGTTTTTGGCTTGAGCATTGATGCGGGAAGATTCTCCACGAGGGCCTAGAGGCAGCAAAAATTCGAAGCAACAGGCCAAAAGAACAGTTGCGAAAGATAGGGAATTCGGGACGTGCCTGTGTTAAGTTGTCAGTTTTTCGTACGACATTGTTTTGGAGAGCTTGAACTGACCTCTGGACGGAATCGAACCGGCAGCCTCGTCATGGCATTTCAAGGTACTAGTGACGCGCTCTACCCTGCTGACTGTTAGATACAGAGCTTTCAACCAGGGACAGGAAGAACATGCATTGAGCTACAGAGGCCAAGATTATCAGATGTTGGTTGGAACTTCAAATTGGTCTTTTTACACCCCCTCTCGCCAATCGCACAGTCGAGGACTCCACATCGGGTGCAAACCCTAGATATCCGAAGATTCCCCTCCCACGGGCGAACACTTCCAAGGTCCGACGTCGAATGTCGAAGTAGTATTCAGGCGGACCGGACCGAGATGCGCTGGATTGAATGGAAACTCCCATTGGTGGAAACCCCCCACACTTGCGGGTACAATCGTCGGCATTCAATCCCAAACAAACTCGGCTCATGGCGTCCGCTACCAAATTTATGAACGTTCCGAGGATTCGTCACTTCCGACCCCGCGATCGAATGAGCAAGATTTACCCAGTTCAGGCAAAACTGAATTTCCAATGACAAGAAAGCTTGATCCTTCGGATGGCTCTCCGAACCAAGATTTGGAGACGAGGATATTCCATCCATAGGGAAAGTGTGACGGTAATATAAAGAGTTCCATTCCCATGGTTCTGCTCTCCAAGACCCAGACGTTATGCATTTCTCAACCCTCCTCCCCCTCGTGGCGCTGCCAACAGCATTCGGTCAACTTAACCAACTTGCCCAAGCGAAAGGCTTGGAGTATTTCGGGTCTGCGACTGACAACCCTGAACTCTCTGATGCGCCGTACCTTGCGATCTTGTCTGATGTGAAGGAATTCGGGCAGATTACACCTGGGAACGCGCAGAAATGGAGTTACACGGAGCCGACCCAGGGAACATTCAGCTGGACACAAGCGGATACGATTATGGATCTTGCAGAGGCAAATGGACAGCTGTTGAGATGCCACACTCTGGTTTGGCATTCTCAGCTACCGAACTGGGGTATGCACGTTTCCAGGTGCTGAATTGTACGCTGACTCGCTAGTCACTTCTGGGACATGGACGAATGCGACGCTCATTGCTGCGATGAAGAACCATATCGCGAATGAAGTCACGCACTTCAAAGGGAAGTGCTACGCATGGGATGTTGTGAACGAAGCATTCAATGAAGATGGAACATATCGGACCAGCGTGTTCTACAACACCGTAAGCTTCACCGACCTCAAGGAGAGAAAGTCCTGACAAGATAGATCGGTCCCGAATATATCCCCATCGCATTCGCCACAGCCGCCGAATACGATCCAGACGTCAAGCTCTACTACAACGACTACAACATCGAATCTGCAGGCAACAAAGCCACCGCTGCTCTGAACGTCGTCAAGAATTTGAAGGCCCGAGGAATCAAGATCGATGGTGTAGGAATGCAAGCCCATTTTATCGTCGGCTCGACTCCAAGTCTCTCAGCACAAACCGCCAATCTTGGATCTTTCACCGCATTGGGAGTTGAAGTCGCATACACCGAACTGGACATTCGCTTCACATCTCTCCCATCAACAGCCGCCGGACTAGCTCAACAATCGACCGATTACGCCAACACGGTCTCTGCATGCTTGGCGACATTGAACTGTGTCGGAATCACGATCTGGGATTATACGGACAAGTACTCTTGGATTCCATCGACGTTTTCTGGACAGGGTGATGCGTTGCTTTGGGATGCGAATTTGGTGAAGAAGCCGGCATATACCGCGGTAGTGAATGTTCTGGGTGGAAGTGTGAGCTCGACTTCAAGCTCGACTGTGGTGGCAACTGCGACTTCGACTTCAAAAGCTACGACGGCAACGGGAACGACGACTGCGCCTACGACGACATCAACTGCTGCTGCGGTGGCGAAGTGGGGACAATGCGGCGGGTTGACTTATGGTGGTTCGAAGACTTGTGTAGCGGGTACTACTTGTACTTATCAGAATGACTACTACTCGCAGTGCTTGTGAGAGTCGAGATGGTGAAGTAATGGACGCTCATCATCGAGAACGGTACATACGATGTGCTGAGAAGGGAGCGAGGGATCGGAAGTTGAACTTGTACATACGATGTGGGGAAAAGCCAGAGCAGAATGCATCTCGATTGAACCTCGAAATTTTTCAAGATCAACTTGCAAAGCTTCCAAGAATTCCAGGCCAAGGAGATGCAGCATAGCGGTGAGATCTCCAACATCCCCCCTGAAGCAAGGACTCGAACACCGTCACACAAAGACCAGAATGAAATGGGCCGAGCGGCAACTTGCATCAAAGTCACTAGCGACTAAGAATAGGAAAAATCTGGATACGAGACTTGTCTGGAAAAACAGGAAGATGCAGGTTCGGGATGATCTCGATGTTCTGATGAATAGGAAGATCGGGATCATGAGTGGTGAGTATCAGCCTCCCTTCGTGGTGCATGATCTACCCTTTGGGTTTGTGTTCAAAATGGGTGCATCTCTCTGCTTTCTTTTCAAGGCTCCCCAAGCCCGAAGAAATGTCGAATCGATCAAGAAAAGCGTGGAACAAATCGTGGAAGTCCGGATTCGCGTCAAAGGCAGCACCGAGACCATCAAAACTGGAGGGTGAATCGGCATCGAGTCCGGACCGCACGGCGGATTGCCTTTCTGAATGTCTCGATGCATTCAAAAACTCAATCTTCCCCTGGGATGAAGCTTTCGACAAGATTTACGCGGCGATTTCTTCAGAGTCGTTTGTTTTGCTGTACTGCTGCGACTCGAAATGCGCTGTTCAGGGATTGCTGCAGAAAGGACAAGATCGTGAGTTGAACCGGAGCCGATACCTGGATTTCGCTGATTGCGTCGCGAACGTGAATGAAGCAATCAGGATTTGCAAAAGGTAATGCGCTCGGTGTCCTCGATAGAAGGCTGACCTGTGCAGATTTGGGACTGTGGTGAAGGATCCAGGATGGCCAGAAGCAGAATGCAGACCAAAGAGTCCGACAGCTGCCTCGGGTACACCAAAGCCGAGGTTCGAAGCTGCGTCGAACAATTCACAAGGTCATTCAATACTCCATCGTTGGCGCAGACGACATTTCAATCATTTTCAGCTGCACCGAGCTGGTCAAGTCTCGCCATCGACTCGTCCCCTTCCCCGCCATCAGACCTCTCCCGAATACACGACATTTCCGACCAGTTCTGCGAGCTTCAATGCGGTTCATGGCAACCTGAGAATCGCCTCATCGTCCAAAATGGCAGATACTTCCCTCAAAATGTCTACGACTCAGAGCTTTTCGACGAAAACCCCCTCATGCAAGAACATCTCCAGCGAACAGAATGTCAACGTCACCAACCTCAACCGTGAGATTTCCATCTGCACCAACAAACCCATCACAATCACCCTTTTCGCTCTGGCAAAGCATGAGCAGTGAAGCACAAGCCGGCCTCATCATCGGATTATGTCTCCTCGCCGTGTGCCTACTCTTCATCCTCTACCTCCTCGACCGACACAAACGACGACCCATCCCTCCCCAGCCCCCAACATTCATTCCCAAAACAACAGTCGACTCCTCCGGGATACGATGGCCCGAGAAAGTAACATTACAAGGCGATGCAAAAGGCTTCCACACATGGACGCGACAATATGAAAAAGAACACCGATTTCGAACGTCGTTGAGAGAAGGACAATACGGCACGGAGACGGGCGGGTTTAGTGGATCTTGTGTCGGGTAATCTTGCACATTTAGCGATCTCTCACACTGCCAAGATCTTCTTGGAACGCTGAAGAGTTGACGATCTCGAAGCTTGGATCTACTGGTGGATAGGGAGCATAGCCCCTGGAAACACTCGCTAGTGTTTGGGTCTGATAATCATTCCAAACAGGCCCGAAATTTTATTCCTGTAACGAGTGATTACGCGCTCAAGTCAAAACAAGATATTCTACACTCGTAAGGAACTGGTTTTGGGCATGTCGAACCGATGATCTGATATGATTCCACCCTATGAGTTGTCCTCCATGGGACTGGTGAGCCCTGACTACCGCAGACAGCGCCGGGAAGTCTCGCATCCGCGGATGTAGCGTGAACACTAATTATGGGGGCACAGGATGAACGTTTCTTTGTTACACTTCATCTGATATTTCTGTCCTCTTTTCTAATTCCATCGTCTTTTCTTTCCTGCATTTGTAGTTTGTGTTGATTTTGGTGTTGCGGGATTGTGTTTTCAGGATGGGTCAACAACCCTCAATTCCAACGGATCTCTCCCGCGAAGTCCAGGTCATTGGCGCTGGATTCTCGAGAACAGGGACGGTTTCTTTCGCTCTTGCTTTGGAGAAACTTCTCAAAGGGCCAGTTTGTCACAGTGGTACCGCAATCCTTCGAAGGGAAGAAGGTTTGTTCAGAAGAATCCAGGATCAACATCGTCCTTGGGAAGTTAACCACGTGACAGCATACGTCCAGAAATGGATCACCATCCAAGACACTCACGCCAGCGAAGACTTAATTGAAGAGAACCTCCGGAACCTCACAGCTGGATATGTCGCTACGACTGATTGCCCGGCGATCCAATTCACGGGAGAGTTGTTGAAGCTGTATCCAAACGCCATCGTCATTTGTACGACTCGTGACAAGGAGGGATGGTGGACAAGTGCTCAGGCATTGATGAGAAACACGGGATTATGGTGGCTGGATATTGTGTTCTGGCCGATGCCTACGTTGAGGTATTTTGGGAGGTGGAGAGATACGATTGGAATGAGGTGAGTAGGTTCAAGTTTTTCAGGGATGTTCGCTGACTGGTGCAGGCTAGAGAAAGTATATCAAACGAGCAGGAAGAATCTAGATGGTCCTCGTAAGTCAATGAAGTCATCACTGTTGCGGCTGGTCACTGTACTGACGATATAGAACTCCTTGAGATTCACGAAGACTATGTCAGGAGAGTTGTACCTGCCGAGAAGCTTTTCTTCTTCAATGTCAAGGATGGATGGGAACCACTCTGCAAGATCTTGAATTGTCCGGTTCCAGACGAGCCATTTCCGAGAGCAAATGATGGGCAAGCGATGCAAGAGTTCTTTGAAAATATGGTGAAGGCTGCTGTGGTGAGATGGGAACAGATGGCGGTTATTGGCGGAGCGTGCATAGCGATGAGCTTTTGGGCCTGGAGGATGCGGTAGACGATCTGAAAT